ATGATCCTGCGTTGATGTGTGGTGAGTCAGAGAGACGCAGAGACGAGTGGAAAAGTAAAGAAACGTATACGTACGAGCACGGTTGCTGTTCCCTTCCCGCTCCTGTATTTCAATCATGTAATGCACAAACCCGACTTATTGTGTCGACAGCCCAGGACATTTCACTATAATTCTGGCTCTCTGTATTAGTAATCCTTTGTGTGTAGTGCGAACCCGTGGGTGGCTCTTAAAGACTAGCCGTTGTGGGTTTTGATCAAGTCAGGGATCACTATACTTGGAAGCTCTAGGGTACTGGTGACGGACCTTGTGCCTACTCGCTCGACACGGCGTGCTTAGCCCAGCTCACCGGACACATTTGACGCACACGGACGTCTGGACTGATCTCCCTGGACGTGATGTGGATACGTTTGTTGTAATGAGCGCAAACAGGGACGACTACACCAGCTGGCGATGCGCTCGAAGATATCGTTGACGAACGAGTTCCTGATACCGCATGAAAGCACGCATTGGGAGAGAATGTCCGGTAGATCGGGGTGGACCTGCATTCAGTCACCTTGTACACGTAAATAGCATAACTCTCTTCCTAGACAACACTTTCTCGGTGGATTATCAGCTACTGTTATAACACGCTACTATCATATAGACGACTTCTCCTCCCAAGCCTGCTGCTCTATTGGTGCCGGCATCAGCAGACTTAGAAAACTCTTAAAAAAATATACAGTATATATGAATATACCTAAATAATGGAATCACCCAATTTTGACATTGTCACTTCTGCTAAATATATCATACAAAGCAGCCCTTTTTGGAGTACGTGAGTGGCTCTTAAAAGAGCCGTTGGGTTTAGCGTTGTTGGAGTCGAGCGTTTAACCTCCGAAGCCGTACAGGGTTCGGCCCTGACGCTTCAGAGCGTAAACCACATCCATGGCGGTGACGGTCTTCCTCTTAGCGTGCTCGGTGTAGGTGTACGGCGTCCCTGATCACGTTCTCCAGAAACACGTGAGCACGCCGCGGGTCTCCTCATAGATCAGACCCGAGATACGCTTGACGCCACCACGAGCGAGCCAGACGGCGGATAGCCGCGCTGGTAATGCCTGGAATTGTATCGCGAAGGCACTTTGCGGTGACGTATCGCGCCTCCTTTACCGAGTCCCTTACCACCTTTCCCTCTTCTGACATGGCTCTTGTTTCTCTCGAAATCAACGAGCAGGCAACAAGTGAAAATTTGCAACGCCTAACGCGCCACTTATGCTCCTCTACAGGACCTAGTTGAAACCAGTCGCGGAGGCGAGCCCACGCACAACAGCGACTAACAGATAAAACAGCACACGATGGAATCGGAGAAAGCACACAAGGCAAATACTCCATGAAACAAATAACACTCATATTATCATAACTATACTGTTATCATGTCTTTATTAGTATAGCATTTCACTTCAAATCGTGTATGTCATTTTAAGTCGAACGTCAAAAATGGTCCAGGGGGAGGGGAAAGAAAGAAAGACGGGAAGAGAAGAACGACATGTATGATTGCATACAATTAAGTAAATATACAAAAAATAAAAAAAAGAATAAAATTAGATAATGTAATTACCAAATACATAAGGTATGAACATTTTTGTAGTCCGTATGTGTACGTTTGATATATTTATACATATAAGAGAAGTTTATATAGGAAATTAATACTACAGCTCTCAGGCACGTACCGATGAAGCTTGTGCGCCGTCATGTGGTCAAACCATGACATGCAAGTCCGAGAAAGACCATTGTAAATGTTGAACTACTGTATGATATATGACGTCATTGGCTTGTTGTAATTACTCTAAAATTATTGTCATTTTATTTTCTATTTTATTTACGGACCATCACAAACACAGTAATTCAAGAAGTCACTAGTTAACACAGTATTTCCACATTTTACGAAAGTCCACTTATTCTACTACTTGCTCGAGTTCACATTTTAACACACGGTGGCGACCAAGCTCCATCGATGACAAATCGCCCTCAGCCCAAAACCCCAGAGCTGGTCTTTCTGCTCCGTGTTTTCTCTGATCAGCACATTAATAATGAAACTCCATATTCGGTGCTGCTTTTCTTCAGTCACTCATATCATCACTACACTCTGAAAGAGAGGAGTTAAATATCACACATATTGTGTAGGATTTCATCACATTTACCGACTGAGCTCGGAGACCCGTGTCTTAATCGACACTCAGTAAATGTGTTTCTCCGCTTTTACACGCCAGCTGTTTTAGACTAATGAACACACAAATGTGTTGTTATGGCACAATATGTGTTTATTATGTTTAACTTAGACACTGATTTTAATATATAGGAACATAAATACATAGGGATAAAATATATAAATATATAAGAAGAGGGTACAAAAAGAGCTTAAAACCTCAATTAAGAAGGCCAAAGAGGAGTACAAGTCCAAGCTGGAAAACAAACTAGAGCTGAAGAACACTTGTGATGTCAATAACTCGCTTCTCTATGGACAGGTACCCTCTGCTTACAAGATTGCTGCTATCACACCCATAATTAAAAACCTGGCCTTTATCCACTAGAACTCAGTAATTACCGCCCCATTTCTAACCACCTCCCCTGTCCAAAGTACTTGAACGAACTGTGGCTAGCCAACTTCAGTTTCACTTATCAGCTAACTGCCTCTTTGAACCATTCCAATCCGGATTTCATCCCTCTCATAGCACAGAAACTGCCTTAATAAAGGTCACTAATGACCTCCTGGTGTCAGCCGATATTGGTGCCCTTAGCATCCTTGTACTACTTGACTTGAGTGCAGCCTTTGATACGGTGAGCCACTCAATCCTCCTATCAAGGCTGCATGATCACTGTCCTGGAGTGGTTTAAGTTATATCTGACTGACAGAAAACAGTTTGTCACCCTCGGTGGCCATACTTCTCACACGTCTGTGGTTACTCAGGGGGTCCCTCAAGGCTCAGTCCTTGGACCTCTTTTGTTTACTGTGTACATGCTTCCTCTTGGCCACATAATATGTCGTTTCAAGCTGAACTTTCACTGTTATGCGGATGACACACAGATTTACATTAGCACTCAATCTATTAAAAATCCACCCCTCACCCAGCTTGAAAACTGCATAACAGAAATTAAAACCTGGATGAAGCACAACTTTCTCATGTTAAATAGTGACAAAACAGAACTTCTTATAGCATCCAAATCAACTCTCTCTAAAACTTCTCCTTTCTCTCTTTCCATCGACAATGTACCTCTGTCCCCTTCCCCTCTGGTACGAAATCTGGGCGTTGTCTTTGACTCAACTCTCTCATTCAGTGCACACATCAACTCTGTGATTAAAACCTCTTTTTTCCATCTCCGTAACATTGCAAAAATTCGACCGTCACTCTCTCAGTCTGCTGCAGAAACCCTTATTCATGCATTCATTTCTAGTCGCCTGGACTATTGTAACTCTCTACTTGCTGGTATTAACTCCTCCCATTTATGCAAACTCCAGATGGTACAGAACTCTGCTGCTCGCCTTCTCACCCGCACCCGTGCACATCAGCATATCACACCCATCCTGCAACATCTCCACTGGCTTCCTGTAAAATACCGCATACAATTAAAAATTCTTCTCCTCACATACAAAGCTCTACATAACCTTGCTCCTTCTTACCTCTCTGGTCTACTTATTCCCTACAAACCAACTCGCACTCTCAGGTCTTCCTCACATATTCAACAGGCCAACTCTGTCTCCACTTTTAAATCTAAACTTAAAACTTATCTCTTTTCTATTGCTTATAACTGTTCTCAATCCTAAACCAGCCCTTTGCCAAGTCCTGCTATGTTTTGCTTGTGATGTTATGACTGTGCTTCATGTTCTCATGTTTGTCTTTACTGTTCTGTATTTCGAAAACCTGTAAGCGTCTTTGAGTTCTTGAAAAGCTCTATATAAGCATTATTATTATTATTATTATTATTATTATTATTAGAGGCCTAAAAAACAGGGAAAGCCTGAATGGGCAAATCAGTTAAATCAGTTCTTTGTGTGGTTTGACAACGGCTCCTCTCCTGCTCCACTGCGTCTGTCTCCTACGCAGATTAACACACCTACACAACTTCGCCATGGGCCATCCACAGCCTCACCTTCCTCCACCACAGCCATTCACACCTGTGACCATTGTGTGCTTTCTCCGATTCCATCGTGTTGCTGTTTTATCTGTAGTCGCTGTTGTGCGTGGCTCCGCCTCCCGCGACTTGGTTTCAACTAGGTCCTGTAGAGGAGCACAAGTGGCGCGTTGGGCGTTGCAGATTTTCATTCGTTGTCTGCTCGTCGATTTCGAGAGAATACAAGAGCCATGTCAGGAAGAGGGAAAGGTGGTAAGGGACTCGGTAAAGGAGGCGCGAAACGTCACCGCAAAGTGCTTCGCGATAACATCCAAGGCATTACCAAGCCGGCTATCCGCCGTCTGGCTCGCCGTGGTGGCGTCAAGCGTATCTCGGGTCTGATCTATGAGGAGACCCGCGGCGTGCTCAAAGTGTTTCTGGAGAACGTGATCAGGGACGCCGTCACCTAGACTGAGCACGCCAAGAGGAAGACCGTCACCGCCATGGATGTGGTTTACGCTCTGAAGCGTCAGGGCCGAACCCTGTACGGCTTCGGAGGTTAAACGCTTGACTCGAACAACGCTAAACCCAACGGCTCTTTTAAGAGCCCCTCACATACTCCAAAAAGAGCTGCTTTGTACGATCTATTTAGCATAAGTGACAATGTCAAAACTTGGTGGTTCCATTATTTAGGTATATTCATATATACTGTATATTTTTTTTTAAGAGTTTTCGAAGTCTGCTGATGCCGGCACAAATAGAGAGCAGGTTGGGGAGAATCGTATTATGATAGTAACGTTATAAAGTAGCTTGATAATCCCGAAAAGTGTTGGTCTAGGAAGGAGAGTTATGCTATTTACGTGTACAAGGTGCTGAAGCAGGTCCACCCCGACACCGGCATTTCTTCCAAAGCGATGGGTATCATGAACTCGTTCGTCAACGATATCTTCGAGCGCATCGCCGGTGAGTCGTCCCGTTTGGCTCATTACAACAAACGTTCCACCATCACGTCCAGGGAGATCCAGACCGCCGTGCGCCTGTTGCTTCCCGGGGAGCTGGCTAAGCACGCCGTGTCCGAGGGCACCAAGGCCGTCACCAAGTACACGAGCTCCAAGTAAGTGATCCCGACTTGATCAAACCCAACGGCTCTTTTAAGAGCCACCCACGGTTTCGCACTACACAAAGGTATTACTAATCAGAAGAGAAATTATAGGAAAGTCCGGGCTCGACACAATAATCGGGTTTTGCATTTACATGGATGAAAACAGGAGCGGGAATGGAACAGAAAACCGTGCCGTGTATACGTTTCTTTACTTTTCCCACTTCGTCTCTCTCTCTCTGACTCACCCACACATAAACGCAGGAGGCAACACGAAGATGGGGGGACAAGTACAATGGGCGGACCCTTTGCCGGCGCTAAAGGGATTGGTTGTTGGAGGCCGTCACATTTCATCCAATAGAAACGCAGCCGCTTTGCCTATGTGAAGGGCGGTCGGCGACTGGAATTCTTTATTTCAACTTTGTTTGGCAAAGTTGATAGAAGTGTATAATGAGCGGAAGAAAGGGAAATTTTATATAAATCTAAAACTTTAGGAGGTCTTGGTGCAATGGACATTGGTTTAAAACTTAAAATAGCTTATTGTAAAATGGTAGCACAGGCAATAAAGAGAGGTGCAGTGTGAGTGGGGGACACTAGAAGTTGGGGGAAAAAGAAAGGAAAGGCAAGAAAAAATGTTCCATACCACAAATTAATATATGGCGATTTTACTTTTAAATATGCAAAGCTTAAGATTAACTGGTGTAACTTTTCTAGTAAAAAGATCTATAACGTTATAAGCGAACACATCTATGGAGGTCTCTATCAACACAAACATCTCAACGAAGCAGAGAGTAAAATATGTATTAGAAACATCCAATCAACGCACATCTCTGAGAACATGAGGGACATAGCATGGCTAATCAGTGTGGGTCGATTAGCTGTACGATGTGTTGTTAAGTGGAGCTGCTACGTTACCACGAAACTATGTCCAGCTGCTAACTGTGACGAAGATGAGACTATTGAACATCTGTTAATTCATTGTGAACGATGTGTGGAAAAGACTAAAAGCTCTGGGTGTTAAATTCAATATAAATGTTAAGTCTATAATGTTTGGAAATGTTGAGGAAAGATTGTCAAAGAATGTTAAAGATTTTTATTGGTTGATTGTTTGTATTACTAACTGTAAACTGGAAAACGAGATGCAAAATGGTAATACAACAGACGCAAATTCCTGCAGAAGTTGTTTTTAAACAGATAACTTTTGAACTGAAACGACTGCGAACAATGGACAGAAAATCAAAATATCCCTGGGCTCTGCTGGACTTATAATTTTCTCATTTAAATTAATTGTAAGTTTGTGTATTATTGTATTTTAGATGGATTTGTTGTGTTTGTGTGTACCATGGTATTCATATGACTTTGTATTGTTCTTTTGATATGTATGTAATTGAAATATTTAATAAAGTTTATTTAAAAAAGCAAAACTGGCGGGAAGGCTAGGGCTAAAGCCAAGACTCGCTCCTCCCGCGCCGGCCTGCAGTTCCCCGTGGGCCGTGTGCACAGACTTCTGCGCAAAGGTAATTATGCCGAGCGCGTCGGCGCGGGTGCTCCCGTTTACTTGGCTGCCGTGCTCGAGTATCTGACTGCTGAGATCCTCGAGTTGGCCGGAAACGCCGCTCGCGACAACAAGAAGACCCGTATTATCCCTCGTCATCTGCAGCTGGCCGTTCGTAACGACGAGGAGCTCAACAAACTGCTCGGAGGAGTCACCATCGCTCAGGGTGGCGTTCTGCCCAACATTCAGGCCGTCCTGTTGCCCAAGAAGACCGAGAAGGCGGTCAAGACCAAGTAAACTGGTTTTCTCTTTTAATTTGTATATATATCCAATGGCTCTTTTAAGAGCCACCCACCTCAGCGACAAGAGTGCAGTTTTTCTTTCCTTTATGCCACCTAAAAGAAAGGCGGCCGTTGATCGATCGGTGATTGTGTGTGCATTAGAGTGAAACAAAAGGCAAAGCATCTCCACATGTCCCGGCGTTGTATACTGAAAAGGTTTTGAAGTTCCTATTGTACTCTAACACATGTAGTGCATAGGAACACACATGAACGTCTGTATAAGGGCGCGGGTTAAGGTGAAATAACAGCGGTATAATAAAGAAATGCAAAAATCAGAATAACGTTACACACCACGTGTAAGGAAGAAAAAAAAATGCTTATTAGTTCGGCTATAACGCAGAAGCCCGCCACGGCGTTGGGGCAGTGTCTTGTGTTTTGAAAATGTTGGCGCGGCAGAAGACGCCCAATAGCGTTAGACTGAGGCGTGGCCTGCCGTCCAATGGGAGGCGCTCACATCCAAGACGCCCAGAGGGCGGAGAGCAGCTCGAAAGCATAGAAGAGAAAAGGTGTGCGCGCGATTTCATTCTTTTTTCTTTGCAGAGTAGAGTTCGAAGCCATGGCAAGAACCAAGCAGACCGCCCGTAAATCCACCGGGGGTAAAGCTCCGAGGAAGCAGCTGGCTACCAAGGCTGCGCGCAAGAGCGCTCCGGCTACCGGCGGCGTCAAGAAGCCTCACCGTTACAGGCCCGGTACCGTGGCTCTCAGGGAGATCCGCCGTTACCAGAAGTCCACAGAGCTGCTCATCCGCAAGCTGCCCTTCCAGCGCCTGGTGCGGGAGATCGCTCAGGACTTCAAGACCGATCTCCGCTTCCAGAGCTCTGCCGTCATGGCTCTGCAGGAGGCTAGCGAGGCGTACTTGGTGGGTCTGTTCGAGGACACTAATCTGTGCGCCATCCACGCCAAGAGAGTCACCATCATGCCTAAGGACATCCAGCTGGCCCGCCGTATCCGCGGAGAGCGCGCTTAAATTAAACGGAGCGCTCACAAGTTGCCAAAAACACACCCCAAAGGCTCTTTTAAGAGCCACATAAGCGTTTCAGTCCAAAAGAGTAAGTTTTCTAGCGAACTGCTAGCTCTCGTAAGTGCTGTGATGTAATATATCTAATACATGTTAATTTCTCAATTTCTGAGCATGCCTGTGGTTGTTCTGTTGTGTGGATAATGTCACACTTTAAGAATGATAATGTAATGGTGTTTTATATGTGTCTATGTATGAAATTTTATATATATATATATATATATATGGAAAGAGCAAGATGTTTTTGAACAAAAAATCTTTGTGTATCACATTTTTATATGCAGTTTAAGCAAATATGGTCTAATTAAATGCATTAAAAGTGCATGAGGATGTGAAAGGGAAGACTGTTTTTTTAAAGTGCACATTTGAATTTAGGAAAACAAGTCATTGTGTGCATATGCATATTTGTATTAACAATTCTAGCTTTTTACCTACAAATACTTTTCATGCTTTGTGTGTGTGTGTGTTTCTGTATTTGAAGGCCTTCCAGAGTGGAGTCAGAAGAGACTCAAAAATAAACAAATAAAGGTTAAAGTACATGTCCTGCAGAGGTATGCTGTAGGTAGGCTGAGTGTGTTCAGGCAGTTCGTAGGCTGGTAAATTTAGAGCATTGTTTAACTCTACTCAGTGCTGAAACGTTTTTTTTATTTTTCTCTCCCAGTAGCAATTCTTTGACTCAGCACCCCTGATCCAGCTCATCAAGTGATTATGAACTGGATCAGGTGTGGTGGGGCAGGGAATATTTGGAACATGGTGTTGGGTGGCGTGGCGTCAAAAGCAAAATTGAGAACCCCTGAGGACTAAGGCATGGCTTTAGATTTGTGATAAGGTGAGACTGTGATAAAAGTAGTTCTATATCTAGGCATCAGGTCAACAAAGAAGTTAGAATGAGTCAAAATAAGTTTGGAGCTAGGCTTTAGGCTTTTGATGAAGCTTCAGGAAGTATGAGCAAGTACCTATCAAGGCCTCAGGCTTGAGTTAGAGTCATGTTAAAGTTCGAGTGAGTAGAAGTGAGTTTACAGCTAGGCCAAAGATGTATGGTGAAATGAGAGTAAGTACTAGTAGGTTAGAAGCCAGGCTTTAGCTCTGTGATGTAGAGCCAGGTATTTGGCTCATTGTGTAGTTGGAGTAAGTAAAGTTAGTCCTTAGGCTAATGATAAAGTGCCAGTGAGTACAGGTAGGTTAAGAGGTAAGCCTTCTGTTAGAGTAAGCAAAAGTAGTTTTACATAGGTTTATCACTAAGCCTTTGCCTTCGACAGTAGTCAGAGTACTCCATAGGTAACTGTGGAGCTAGGCCTCAGGCTAATGACGGCGTTAGTGTGAGAAAGTTATTGGTTGGTCAGGCTAATGATGAATTAAGAGCATATTTATATTTACACATAGGCCTCAGGCTAATGGCAAAGTTACAGTGGGTACAAGTAGGTCTGGGCCTCAGACTTCTACTGTGGTTATAGTGTGTAATAACAGGTGCAGGGCTAAACCTTAGGTTTATTGTGTAGTTAGAGCTAGACCATGGGGGCATGATGATATAGGTTAGAGAAAGTAGAAACGAGATTAGGGCTAGAACATAGGCTTATGATGAAGTCAGAGTAAGCAAAAATGGGCTTCAATCTAGGCCCCAGGCTTATGCTGAGGTTAAAGTACTTAAGAACAGGTTAATAGCCAGGGCTTTGGCTCCTGATCTAGTTGGCTTTAATGAACGGAGGTAGAGGGCAAGCTGTTAGGCCAATGATGAAGTTCTGATGTGAAAATAAAAGAAGGTTCAGGGCAAGGCCGTATGCTCATGATAACGTTAGAAAAAGCAAAGGGTGGTTTACAGCTAAGCTTCAGGCCTTTATCGTAGTGAAATGAGGAAGCCTGAGGCCTAGCTGTGAGGTTATTTTTTCCTACTCGAGCTTCATCGTAAGCCTTATGTCTTGTTATGTACCTCCTTCCTTTCAGTCTAACTGCATCATGAGACTGAGGACTAACTCTAAATCTGTTTGTATTTACTATAAGTCTACAGTGGAAGTGCTAAAGTCAAAGTTAGTGAACAACAGGTTATTAGCTAGGCCTTGGGCTTTTATGGTAGCTAAAGTGAATGAAAAGAGGAACCTAACAAGACATCATGCTTATGATGAAGCTATGAGGAGATACTACAAGTAGCTACAGAGTGATGCCCTAAGCTTATGATGAAGTCAGAGTGAGCAAAACTATGTTTAGAGATGTGTTTTGAAGTTAGAGAAAGTAAAGGTGAGTTTACAGCGAGGCCTCTGGCATGTGAAGGTAGAGTTCACTTGTGTGTGTGTGTGTGTGTGTGTGTGTGTGTGTGTGTGTACAGAGCAAGGCTTTAAGCTTATGATGTAGTTATAGTTATAGCAAGCAAAAGTAGTTTTAGAGCAAGGCCATAGCCATATGATGAAACAAAGACAAGTAAAAGGAGGTACATGAGGTTAGATAAATAAAAGTAAGTATAGAGTGAGACTAGAGCTATGCATCAGGCTTGTAATGCAGACAGATTATGCAATAGTGGGTTAAGAGCTAAGAAAGGATGTAAAATTAGGTACAGAAAAAGCCATTAAGCTGAGGATAAAGTTACAGTAAGCGAAAGGAGGCTGGCTGCCATGCCTCAGGCTTATAAGCAACGGTAATTTTAGAGTGAGGCCTTTGGCTCTTGCTGATGTTAGACTGAGTAAAAGCAGGTTACTTGCTAGGCCATGGGCTTATAGCATGGTGAATGTTAGTAGTTGGGCTCATGATGTAGTTAACATGAATGAAAGGAGCTGTGATTAAAGTAAAAGCAGGTACAGAGCAAGCAATTAGACTTTCTATGAAGCTAGAGAAAGCAAAAGGAGGCTTACAGCTATGCCTCAGGCTTATAGTGATGGAGTAAGTAGCAGTAGATGTAGAGTTAGGCCTTAGGTTTCTGAAGAATTTTGAGGAAGCAAAATAAGCTTTCCAGCTAGGCCTCAGACCTGTATTGTAGTCAGAGTAAGTGACGATAGGTTTAGAGCTAGGCCCTTGGCTTATGGTGAAGTTAGACTGAATAACAGTATACATAGAGTAAGAGATATTAGGTTTAGAGCTCGGCCTAAAGTTGTATGGTGAAATTAGAGAATCTTAAGGTAGGTTTAGGACAAGGTCTTAGGCTTATGATGAAATCAGAGGAAGCAAAAGGAAGCTTCCAGCCAGGTCTCAGGCTTTATTTTAATATTGTAGTTGGAGTGTATGTAAGAGTAGATTTAGAGTTAGTGAAATGAAGTTAGTCAGCTGGAATAAAAGGATTTTGGCTTATGATGAAGTTGGAGTAAGTGAAAGGAGGCTTATAGCTAGGCCTTGTGCCTTTATTGTAGTAAAATAAATAAAAATTGTTTCAGTGCAAGGCCTTCATGAGGAAGTTAGAATAAAGCACAAACCTAAGACCCAGCTGTATAGGTCCTTTTACTTACTCTATGTATATTTTAAGTCTAAGACTTATGATAAAGTGTAAGCAACAGTAGCCTTTCAGCTTGGCCTTGGATTCATAATATAAATAGAACTAAGAAGGAGCTATAGAGCTAGGCCTTAGGTTTATGATTGTAAAAGTCGGTGTAGAGCAAGGCCTTTAGCTGCTGTGCTTAATTATTAATTCTTATATAATTATTGATTATTTCTCACTAGTCAAGTCAAAGTTTATTTATATTAACAGCGCATCAGCAGAGATCAGGCTATGCCCCCAGCGGCCGCCGGCTTACGCGTGTGCTTTACTCGCTCCAAGAAAGCTCGTTTAACCCCTAATCAACGGGGCGCTCGGCCAGTCGGAGTTCGCTCACGCCCTCGCCGAGGCTCTCCCCGAACGCGCCGTGGAGCTCTCCGAAGGCTCACGCCGCCGTTTGCCACCGTTTATCACAGATTATTGCGCTAAATACACAACAGTTTCTCAGTCTAAGGAGAGGAGCGGCGTGTGTCTCGCCGCCCTC